TATGGAGAAAACATAGATTAAGAAAGAAAGAAAGAAAGAAAGAAAGAAAGAAAGAAAGAAAGAAAGAAAGAACGGCAGGGAGGAAATAAAGAAAAAGAAAAGAATGATGGTAGCCTGAAATATGGAGAAAACATAGATTAAGAAAGAAAGAAAGAAAGAAAGAAAAAAAATAAAGAACGGCAGGGAGGAAATAAAGAAAAAGAAAAGAATGATGGTAGCCTGAAATATGGAGAAAAAACAGATAGATTAAAGAAAGAAAGAAAGAAAGAAAGAAAAGAACGGCAAAAAGAAAAGAATGGAAATAAAGAAAAAGAAAAGAAAGAAAGAAAGGAAAGAACCTCAGGGAGGAAATAAAGAAAAGAAAAAATGATGGTAGCCTGAAATATGGAGAAAACATAGATTAAGAAAGAAAGAAAGAAAGAAAGAAAGAAAGAACGGCAGGAGGAAATAAAAAAAAAAAAAAATGATGGTAGCCTGAAATATGGAGAAAACATAGATTAAGAAAGAAAGAAAGAAAGAAAGAAAGAAAGAAAGAACGGCAGGGAGGAAATAAAGAAAAAGAAAAGAATGGTGGTCGCCTGAAATATGGAGAAAACATAGATTAAGAAAGAAAGAAAGAAAGAAAAAGAACGGCAGGGAGGAAATAAAGAAAAAGAAAAGAATGATGGTAGCCTGAAATATGGAGAAAACATAGATTAAGAAAGAAAGAAAGAAAGAAAGAAAGAAAGAAAGAAAGAACGGCAGGGAGGAAATAAAGAAAAAGAAAAGAATGGTGGTCGCCTGAAATATGGAGAAAACATAGATTAAGAAAAGAAAGAAAGAAAGAAAGAAAGAAAGAAAGAAAGAAAGAACGGCAGGGAGGAAATAAAGAAAAAGAAAAGAATGATTGTAGCCTGAAATATGGAGAAAACATAGATTAAGAAAGAAAAGAAAGAAAAGAAAAGAAAGAAAGAAAGAAAGAAAGAAAGGGAGGAAAAAAAAAGAAAAAAATGGTGGTCGCCTGGAAATATGGAGAAAACATAGATTAAGAAAGAAAGAAAGAAAGAAAGAAAGAAAGAAAGAAAAGAAAGAAAGAAAGAAAAAGAACGGCAGGGAGGAAATAAAGAAAAGAAAAGAATGATGGTAGCCCTGAAATATGGAGAAAACATAGATTAAGAAAAAGAAAGAAAGAAAGAAAGAAAGAACGGCAGGGAGGAAATAAAGAAAAAGAAAGAAATGTTGGTAGCCTGAAATATGGAGAAAAAACATAGATTAAGAAAGAAAGAAAGAAAGAAAGAAAAGAAAGAAAGAAAGAAAAGAACGGCAGGAGGAAATAAAGAAAAAAAAAAGAATGGTGGTCGCCTGAAATATGGAGAAAACATAGATTAAGAAAGAAAGAAAGAAAGAAAGAAAGAAAGAAAGAAAGATCTCTCGTATAAGAAAGCAACAAAGATCTGAAATAAATAAAAATGAACTGAAATAAATAAATAAATCGGCAAAAAAATAAATACATAAAGAAAGAAAATGAAAGAAATCATGACTGAAGGAAAGGATGAAAGAAAGTAAGAATGAATGAATAAAATAAACATGGATATGATGTATAAAAGACACAAATAATTGAAATTATTAAATACGGAAAAAAAGGAAATTAACAAAATAAATCAGTAAATAAATAAATACAAAAAAAAAAGAGTAAAGAAAGAAAGAAAGAAAGAATTATAGGATAGAATGTTTAAAAGAAGAAAAGACATAAAAAAGGAAAAAGAAAATAAAAGAGAAAAAAGAAAGAAATTATTAATGGGCAACTGGTTTAAAAAAAGGTAAAAAGAAGAAGATAAAGAGAGAAAGAATAAAAGAAAGGAATATATCATTATTGATAGAGGGCAACAAAGGGGACGAAAAAGAGAAGAAGAAGAAGAAGAAAAAGAAGAAGAAGAAGAAGAAGAAAATTTCTCTCGTTTTTCCATGTTTTCTTCAATCTCCTGAGTTAACTCGGGAATAAAACTCGTTAAAAGTGAGAACGAACGAAGAAAAGAAAGAAAAAATGAATGAAAGAAAGAAAGACGGAAAGAATGAAAGAAAGAAAACATCAGGTTTAATTTTATTAAACAATAAGTAGCAGGTAATAAACTTTAAAACCAATGGCCGTGGTATCGAATCGTCTGAATCGAAGAAGAGAAGGTCGAGAAATCCGAGCGAAGAAAAATGGTTCGAGGAACACATACACAAAAAGAGATATCAGAGAGATTCGCTCCAAAATTAGGAGTTGTCACAATTCACATAGCAGGGGCACTTATTGATTTTTATTTAGTTCTTGTGATTCACGGTTTGGTTGTAGGTAGCGTAGAAGTAGTTTCTTTTTGAATGTGTATTTTTAAATAAAATATACAAATAATTAGAAAACAAATATAATAAGCAAACGAAACGTAATGACTGTAAATAAACTCAAGCATCAGCCCTAAAAATTATTGTTTCACTTTCCATCGTTCACACTATCTACACACACACACACACACACACACACACACATATATATATATATATATATATATATAGCAATTTCTTAAGAAATAATGAATATTCTATTTGTTAATAATCCGACAGATTTTATCACTTTAAACGTTATTTTAGTGGATATACATATTTGAGTAGATTCTCAGTTTAATTATTAAAATGTATATTTACTGATTCCATCTGCCTGCTTGAATCTTTGAGAAAACTTATTGAAGAAAAACATTGGTTTTCTGCCAGTAGTCGAACCTGCGAACCATCCCCACCCACCCGGGCAGAGAGAACTGTCAGATCTCTCTTCTTTCTCTAACTCTCTTTCTATATATATATATATATATATATATATATATATAGAGAGAGAGAGAGAGAGAGAGAGAGAGAGAGAGAGAGAAGGATTAAATTAAAAAAAAACGGAATTTAAAAAATATTTAGTATATGAAAGAGCTTAAATATTTTTTTTGAAATTGAAGAATTTTCTTAGCTTAAAATAATATCTGTATTTGAATTATTCTTAATTCTTCTACCGACTGCGCAGTTTCATGGTTCATGTCCACTTTCCAAGGGATTTATATATATATATATATATATATATATATATATATGTGTGTGTGTGTGTGTGTGTCCGTTTTTTAATCATATTTGCGCTTTATTTTAGTCTGATAGTGAATACAAAAGAAACAATCAGTTGGTTCAACAATATTACAAAGAAAATAACAGCGCTTTTGTACAAATAGACATTAAAGACTTTTACCATCATTTACCGAAAATATATTAAATAAAGAGTTATATTTACCTATGTAATATATAAACATTCCAGAAGATTTATATATCGTTAAACATTGTAGAAAATCAATATCATTCTACAACAATAAAATATGGTTAAAGAAGCATAATAACTTTAACATAACAAAGGGTAATTATGATAGTATTGAATTATCTATAATTTATCAGATATGATTAATAAAAAAGATATAGGCTTATATAGAGATTATGGTCTATTAATTATAAGAAATAGCAATGGTAGAAAATAGAAAAAATAAAAAACAAATCATAGTAATTGTTATGGGACCTACCTTTATGGACTAAATGGACTCGTTCTATTACTATATTATGCCTCTCAAGAGAGCAGTCTACAGTTTACGAGTTGACTACTGTACTTTGCTGTCAGTCAGACGTGCAACACTTTTGTATTCGTTCTTTTTGTTAATAATACGTTTTTACTAAGTTTTCTTTCGGACCTATACTGTGTCCACAATAATAATGTTAAAAAAATAGAATTTATAATAGAAATAATATCTAAATTGAAAATAGTTAATTTTCTAGATATTACATTTAATTTAATAACAATTGACACAAACCATATAAAACAAATATCACCCACTTAATGTATTCAAATATATATCAATATCTATTAATAAAAGAATAGCTACTAATTCTAACAGTACAAAAATATTTACTGAAAATTAAAGAAATATATGAATCAGTATTACTAAAATTGGATATATGGATAAATTAAAATACATACCTACAAACAATGCAATAAAAATAAAAGAAAACAAATAAAATTTAGTTTAATCCACCTTATAACAATACAATAAAACCAAAAATGGGAAAATTATTTTCCAAATTAATTGATGAACACTTTCATAAAAATAGTAAATTATAAATAATCATTAATAATAATACAATAATATTAGCTACAGCTATATGAATAATATGGATAATAAAATAAATAAACATAATAAAAATATTAATCTTAAATAATAAAAAAATATGAGAATGCAAATTAGAATAATAAAAACAACTGTAATTGTCGAAATAAAAATATCTGCCCACTTGGTAATAAATGTTTAACAAATAATATACTATATAAAGCGATTGTGTCAAATAATGTTAACACAGAACAAAATATATTGGAGCTACTGAAACAACATTTAATAAAAAAAAATTAACAATCATAAAATGTCATTTAAATTAAATAGACTGACAAACAAAACTTTGTCTAAATATATATGGTCGCAAAAAGAAAAAAATATACCTAAAAAGATCAGAGTGGAAATAATAAAAAAAAGTACCTCCAACTGATATAAAAATAGAATATGTAAATTATACGTAGAAGAAGAATTATATGGAAAAATATTAATTAATCAAATTATTAAACAAAAGAAAATAATTAATGGGTAAATGTAGACATTTTAACAAATATATACTTTGTAACTTAAACACCAACAAAACATAATTTTCATAAATTTTAACAAATATCTCATTTTAATTTTGATATATATATTTGATTTTGAAATCATATATGTGCGTGTGTTTGTGTGTGTATGTGTTTGTATGCGTGTGCATGTATGTGATTCTGGTATATAAATATTAGGATCATATAATATAGATAAAATTAAATTTAAATAACACAAATAAACTAAATAATAATTTATATTTGAAATATAATACAGACACACACACATATATATACACACGAATATATATATATATATATATATATATATATATATATATATATATATATATATATATATATATACATAAAACAACAATAAAAAATAATAATTATGAAAATATAAAAATATATAATAATTAAAAATGCACAGCAAAAAATACACAAAGAAAGATATACAATAGTAAAATAATTACATTAGAAATGATGGGTTTATATGCGCGCGTGGAAGCATGAACCTTCACGTCCCCGATGCGCGTTGGAAGTATATTCTTCGCCGGATTGATGGCATGCGCGTCACTAGAGGAGTGAAAAAACGCAAATATAATATAAAAAAACGGACGCACACACACACACACACACACACACACACACACACACACACACACACACACACACACACACACACATACATATATATATATATATATATATAACATTTACATAAAAACCCTGTTATTTTGGAATAAAGTGTCACTGCCGCCACTTGAGTTTAAACATAGATTACCAGTGTGCAAATACAGGCGATCCTATTATTGGATTAAGTAGACCACGTGACCATAGAGGAAACGCATATATGGAAGGTAGCGTGTGTTTAATAGATCTCCATTTTTAGTCTAACCCATCTTACTATACGATGGCTATTTCTAGTCTATCCTCTGTTACTACTCGGATGCCTATTTCTATTCTATCCTCTATTATTAAACAGATCGCTATTCTCTATTCTATTTACTATACTATTTCTCTATTTGGATCACAATACGGTGGTTACTTGTCGAGCGAATATTATCGAGCAAGTACTATTAGTGTGAGTGAAATTCGAAGGCGTCTGACACTAGTATTGTTCAACGGCGTACTATAGTGGTATCTGCGATTACAAAGTCTCTACTATTATGAGCATTACGCAAGTGACAACGAATATCCGTTGGCATCGCAAAAGTGGCAACGTGTGTTCGTTGACATCACAAAATATCCCTTGAAAACTGGACATGAACCACGGAACTGCGTAGTCGGGAGTAGAATTATGAATAATTTAAATACGTATATTATTTTACATAAAGTATCTGTATAGCAGGAGGAGTCAGGTACTTACTGGAGCGGTACAGAGAGTCGATCATTCTCCCTGCACCCTTAGCAATGGATCGTATGTACAAGTCTCACTTCAGGTCGGGTGTGAGTTTGAGGCCCAACAGTCTTTCAAGGCACGTTACTTCCCCGAGAGGAACTAATTAGTGGTAGTTCGGGATCAGATCGGGGAAAAAAATGCCTTCGCGAAATATGGCCGCATATACTGAGCTCCCAATAACAAGCGACCTCACAACACAATCGTAATTAATCTAGCGAGGTTAATCCTGCTAACCATGACACACGTCGAAGTGAGATTGCGATATAAACTTTCTGATATAAGTAAAATATAATTGCTAAATATGGCCGTTAATTTTGACTGGGTAGATAAACAAGTAAGTAAATAAATATAGAATGAAAGATGAGGAGGAAAATACAAACCAAAATGGATGCATTGTTTCGGAAAAGCTTGAAAATAAACGAATCATTCTTGATGATCTTTCATAAAATTGATACCGGATCTCTCCGATCAGTGCCGCTGGGTATAAAAGAAAGCTTCCGAATAACTAACGCTCAATAGTCCCCCCACCGACACACACACTTCATCCTTATACGTCATTTACATCCACCCTGCATATTCAACCTATTAATTCCACAATGAATCAAAACCAATTAACGGGCCAGGCAGAATAGAAAAAAATAATTGCATGTTGTATTCAAAAAGAGAAAAATGTACATGAAAACCAAAGAGAGAGAAGAAGAAGAAGGAGAAAAAGAAGGAGAAAACGGAAGAAGAAAACAAAAAGAGGGAGAAGAAATAAAAAAGAAGAAAAAGATGTAGAAAAAAGAAGGAAGAGGAAAAGAAGAAGAAGAAAGAGAAAAGAAGAAAAAAGAAGAAAACGGAAGAAGAAAAAGAAGAAGAAGAAAGAAGAAAAAAAAAGAAAAGATGTATAAAAAGAAGAAAAAGAAAAAGGAATAGGAAAAGAATAAGAAAGAGAAGAAGAAGAAAAATGAAGAAGAGAAAGAAGAAAAAGAAGAAGAAGAAAGAAGAAAAAGAAGAGAAAGATGTAGAAAAAGTCGAAGAAGAAGAAAAAGGAAGAGGAAAAGAAGAAAATAGGAAGAAGAAGGAGAAGAAGAAGAAAGAAGAAAACGTGCAGAAAAAGTTGAAGAAAAAGAAAGAGGAAAAGAAGAAGAAAGAGAAGAAGGAGAAAAAAGAAGAAAAATGAAGAAGAAGAAGAAGAAGAAGATGAAGAAGAAGAAGAAGAAGAAGTGGAAAACAGAAACGAAGTAAAAGAAAGAAAAGTGAAAGAGAATGGAAAAAAACGAGAAAGGATTGAGAAAGACAACGGAAAACAAAGGAAAAATGAAAGAAATAGGGGAAAAAACGAGAATGAATGAAAATAAAAAAATAAAAAAAGAGAAAAAAGAAGAAAAATTTGGAGAGATAGAGAAAGAGAAAGTGAGAGAGAGAATGAATTAACGATTATCTAGACGAAGAAAATTAAAATGATGAAGAGAATAGAAACGAAGGGGGAATGTTAAAAGAAAAGAAGGAAAGAGAGAAGAAGACAAAGAACAGACGTAAAAAGAAAAGATCAACAGAAAGGAAAGAAAAAGAAAAACGAAATGCGTATAGGAAAATTAGAAGAAAAATAAAATTAACGCTAAAACCATAGAAGAGGAAAAGAAAAGAAAAAAAAAGGATTGAGAAGAAAAAGTAAAGCAAAAGTCAAAAAAGAAGAAAAAATAAGCCTAGAATAAATGCGAATAAAAAGGGGAAAAACGGAAAAGACAAAAGAGAGTGGATGGTGTAATGAGTATCAAGACGAAGGAAAATAAAATGAAGGAGAGAGGAGAAACGAATGAGGAAAGCAACAAGAAAAGAAGGAAAGATAGAAGAAGAAAAAGAAAAGATGAAAAAAGAAAAGATGAAGAGAAACGAAAGGAAAAGAGAATAGAAAAGAGTAACGAAAAATGAAGAAGAAATAAGAATAAGCAGAAGAAATGAATCAAATAAATAGAAAGGAAGGGAAGAAAAAAGACGAAAAAGAAAGAAAAAGAAATAATATATGAAAAGAAAAGAGAAAATGAGAAGTAAGAAGAAAAGAAACTGAAAAGAAGGAGAAAAATAATGAAGAATAAATAAGAAAAAAAGAAAAAGAGAAAAGAAGGAATAAAAATAAAAGATACACGAAAAAGAAAGAAGAATAATAAAGAAGAAAGATGAGGGAATAAAGATGAGAAAAAGAGCAAATGAAAAAGAAAGTGAAAGAAAGAAAACCGTGTCAAAATATTAAAGAAAGAAGAAAAAGAGTAACGAAAAAGAAAAGAGAAAAGCAAAAAAGGGAAAAGAAAAAATAGTAGAAAAGAAAGAGAGAAAAAAATGAATAAAGAGATTAAAACAATAGAAAAAGACTATGTGAAAATAATCTCAAGGTGTCGATAAAGACGATTATTAAAATTCTAATTAGATGGAAAATAATCGATTGTGTTTGTTGCTCAAAAACTTTCCCGGGCGAATTTCCTTGTTAAATGTAGATGATCGTAATTCTGTTTATAATGCAGATAACATTCATTACTGTTCGAGCAAAATGACACACAAAATATAATATAATTTGCGACAATAATATCATTTCATAATATTGTTTTTATATTTAGACAGTTACTTAATGATTCAGAATCTTTATTATTATTAAAATTAATTATAATTAATAATTCTTTTTGAGATTACGAATCTGTCGTATTTAATGTCTCCGCCTGAAGATCAACTGACAGCAAATCATCTCAATTCTTGATCTCCATCGTCGCAGATTAGTTAAGATAGCAACAGGCGTACAGTATGACGAAGGGGTAAAAATATACGATGCTGAATATACCCAGTATAAAACCCGGTTTGATAAAGGTATAAAAACGCATGCATCACAGCCAATCTTCTTCTTCTTCTTCTTCTTCTTCTTCTTATTATTATTATTATTATTATTATTATTATTATTATTGCACCCATGCAGTTAAAATGAAGGCAATTGGTAAAAGATTTTAATGGTGAGATGCAATGGAACAAAATTCTTCAACGTATTGAGATCAATTAAGCGGATATAAAGAATTCACAACGAAAATAGAGGCCAATGGACCATTTAATTAATCCATTCCCTTCATATTTTAGACATTCCATGGTATGTATGTAACATTTATATACGATTCTAATTATAATGAATGGACGGTTAAACATGGCAATATTAAAATTAAAAAAATCAAATAAACATTGTGTGGACCATGATATACTAATGAAATAAGGTCTATGTAATTGTAATGCGTTAATATTTATGAAAAATTCTTTTAACTATATTTTAATGTAAAAGTTATACAATGCCGACATAACACCTTCAATTCATTTCTTTGATTTAGCAGAACTTTATTGGTAGGAAACTTTATAATATGCACATTTTCTTGTAAACACAGCGAGCATAGGTTATAAAAGGATTTACCGATTCACATTTTTTTAAAAAAATTTTTTCAATTTATCGTAGGAGTTTTTTTTATTTCTTTTAAATGCCAAAAATATAATGGGATGATGTGATACTCTAGGTATTGTTGTTAAAAGAGGATATGTGTTGGTACCACCTTATTTTGAAGGAATTTTTGGTACTGCCAATATATAATTTCTCATCAGTTAGATTTTCACTAGATGAAATCGTACATAGATAAACAAGATAACCAGTAAGACACCTAATTGTGTAATGGACATTCGTTAGGATTTCCACAATTACACAAGTTTATATAATTATTGTTTTCTCTTTTGGCATAGCAAGTGTTGACTTAAAAAAAATTTATTATGTTTTTTAGTAATTTTTTCCAGTTTGTACAACTATAACTTAATTCAAGTGTATTTTTATTAAAAATCTTCCTGACAGGCTTATTACTGGGGAAATGCTTCCCAATTAAATTGAGAAACTTCTACCCTTAATTACTACAAAACATTTGGTTAAATGGGGAGGGTACCAAATGTTTTTTTTTGGTTTCTATTTTTTTCCTGTTATGTTTTATGCATTTAATGTCAGGGCATTTATAACTACTATTTTTAAGTCATTGTTGTAAAAATTGCTATGTTTATAAAATATATCTTCAATGGAACAGTTATTACTCATTCTATATTATATGGAGGCAGGTATGTGTTTGATTATGGATGGAGGGTAATTTGAATTTGGGTGGATATATAATGTATTTGCATTAGTCTTCATGCATATTTGGTATGTATTATCGACTACTTATTGTGTTACATCAAGGAAGTTGTTTTTAAATTTGTATTGATTTTAACTTTCAGGTTTAGACTTTTAAACTTCCTATGGATCACTTTTCTGATTTTATCAGTTTTTAATTTTGTAGCATTTTTCACCACCATAAGGCCATCATCCCTATATAACCTTATATCCTCTATGTTGATGTCATGGTGGGCAGTAAGTTTATATAAAATGAATAAACTAAGAAGGTCGGAAGAATCAGCAGAGTCTAACGATCCCATTGCAATGTCAAATTGGTCACCTGAATTATTTTTTATCCATTGTACTTTGTTGTGGATAAGAACAGATTTTCTAGAATTCCTAATAATGTTCAGTTCCTCGATTGAAAGATCGGAGTATTAGATGGCTAATTTCAAATCCAATGTAAAGAGTTCTCTCGAAATGGATGGGTAATAATCCACAATATCAAACTGGATCAAAGAACAATTAGTTTTATCCTTTATATTATTAAACCAATCGATGACATTAGTGGGAATCCATTATACCAGTCCAAAGTACTCTTTAACAGTATGTTGAACCTTTCGAGAATAATCTTGCTAATTCTACCAATTTCTGGCCTAGTAGGGTTAATAAACCCGGTGGGAAGATCAGGTTGAAAATCATAATTATGGTTCTTTATTATTATATATGTTGCTTCTTTACAGAGTTTGCTAAATCTGTCACTAATTTTAAGCGTGTCCTTAATAATTTTGCTAGTTTCATTAATTTTTCAAACAAGTTAACTATTCTCTACTTTGTACTGATCAATTTTTAAAAAGAAGTAAATGCTAAGAACTGTGGATTCTTACTCCATCTGTTGTCATATATATATATATATATATATATATATATATATATATATATATATATATATATATATATAGTTCTATCGCTACACATGTTTCAAAAACAGAAACTAAAATTTCAAATTCAGTAATAGAATTAAATTAGAGTCACTGGTCCAGTTTCATTTTCAAGCGAATTTTAGAATAAATTATTTTGAAATTTACATGTTAATACTCTGTAGCGATGGAACCAAAAATATTAAGAAGAACACCGGATTACTTACTTCTTACAGCTAATTCTTTGTGTGTATGTGTGTGTGTGTGATTCACAGACAGTATAGTTTCGCTGTATCACAGCTAAAAGTGAACACTGAAGTCAACATTCAGAGGTGATAGGCTGTTTCATGCTAGACGCAATCGTCAGGCCGCATGAAACAGCCTATCGCCTCTGAGTGGTGACTTCAATGTTCACCTTTATATTTATATTTACATACGCTCTATCTCTGATATTGAGCACTTTATCCCATAAATATAGCACACCTTAAAATTATATTTCTGCATGTTTCTTCATATATATATATATATATATATATATATATATATATATATATATATATATGAAGAAAGTATTTTTTTCGCAGAAGATAGGAAATTCGTAAGATCTCGGATCTGTCAGAATTAATTTATGCTATGACGCGGCGAATAAAAGATAGCAATCTGCCCATGGCAATAATGAAAATTTCAAATTGGTCAAGTGGCTCGCAGGGCGAAATGCTGGAAGATAATCGTAATTAGGTCGAGGATGCGAACGAGAAAAAGGATCAGCTGAGACCACCCCAAAGAAAAAGGAAGGGAAAAGAGAAAAAGGAAACGAATAAACCATTAACTATCTTTCGGAGATATCATTTGGTTTTGGAAAGGGACACCTGTTTTATGTCCAAACCTGGACATGATAAAGTTTGTTACCGCCACAGATTGTTGACGATAGAAGTACGAAGGCGCTGAGGTTACAATGAGTCACCTGATGATTACTTGACGGAAATCTCGTTGATAAATTCCAGATGACATTCAGTTAAGATAGAGACTTAATGACCACACTACGATTCGTGGGGGTTCTAGTCAAGGAAAAGAAAGAAAAAAAAAAGGAAGATAATTTTTTTTGAGCGATAATTGTAAACTGAGGCCAGACTAGCCACATCCACCCTGCTGAGCGTTCATTGGATGAATGGTGGCGTGAGCGATGGGCGAAAGTAAATATATGAGAAGGAAGGGAAACCTGTTGACGCCTTCTGCGGGGATGGTGTGAGATACCAATATGAGAAAGGAAAAATTTGGGAGGACAATTCCCTTAAGAACCCCTCTAAAACAGAAAGTAATGGACTTCCAAAAATGGAAAGTGATAAATTTTCCTGTCCGAAAACAAAG